TACAGCAAAAGACAGGAAACCAGCTCTCTCTAGGTTTCAGATTCTGCTTCAGTCCATGACTCACCATGTACATTTGAATAAATCACTAGATTTCTCTGTTCTTTAGTTTGCCCATCTGTAAGAAGGACAGAACACCTACTCCCTCACAGGGGTGGGGATCTTGGACTTTGTTAGTTACTGTCGGTGAAGCATATTCAGATCACTGATCAAAGGCAATATAGAAAGTCAGAGTATTTTTGTGTTTTACTTTAGATATTGATTAAAACTCTTCTTTAAATAGTCTCTACATTGCTTCTTTTAACACTTTCAGCTACTGACAGGAAAGAACTTGTGTTTCAACCCATGTATCAAAGACATAAACCAGAGTTGGATCTTAACTAGAGTATAATTAAAACTTTAAAATACCATCCTATAGTATCATAGTATCTGAGCGCATCAGATTTCTCATAGAATCATAGAATATCAGGGTTGGAAGGGACCTCAGGAGGTCATCTAGTCCAACCCCCTGCTCAAAGCAGGACCAATTCCCAACTAAATCATCCCAGCCAGGGCTTTGTCAAGCCGGGCCTTAAAAACCTCCAAGGAAGGAGATTCCACCTCCTCCCTAGGTAACGCATTCCAGTGCTTCACCACCCTCCTAGTGAAATAGTGTTTCCTAATATCCAACCTAGACCTCCCCCACTGCAACTTGAGACCATTGCTCCTTGTTCTGTCATCTGCCACCACTGAGAACAGCCGAGATCCATCCTCTTTGGAACCCCCCCTCAGGTAGTTGAAAGCAGCTATCAAATCTCCCCTCATTCTTCTCTTCTGGAGACTAAACAATCCCAGTTTCCTCAGCCTCTCCTCATAAGTCATGTGCTCCAGACCCCTAATCATTTTTGTTGCCCTCCGCTGGACTCTTTCCAATTTTTCCACATCCTTCTTATAGTGTGGGGCCCAAAACTGGACACAGTACTCCAGATGAGGCCTCACCAATGTCGAATAAAGGGGAACGATCACGTTCCTCGATCTGCTGTCAATGCCCCTACTTATACAGCCCAAAATGCCGTTAGCCTTCTTGGCAACAAGAGCACACTGTTGACTCATATCCAGCTTCTCATCCACTGTGACCCCTAGGTCCTTTTCTGCAGAACTGCTACTTAGCCATTTGGTCCCTAGTCTGTAGCAGTGCATAGGATTCTTCTGTCCTAAGTGCAGGACTCTGCACTTGTCCTTGTTGAACCTCATCAGGTTTTTTTTGGCCCAATCCTCTAATTTGTCTAGGTCCCTCTGTATCCGATCCCTACCCTCCAGTGTATCTCCCACGCCTCTCAGTTTAGTGTCATCTGCAAACTTACTGAGAGTGCAGTCCACACCATCCTCCAGATCATTAATAAAGATGTATTTATCATGTATTTATCCTGTGAGGTAGGGGAGCACCTATTTTATAGATGGGGAACTGAGGCACAAAATGACTAAGGGCCAGATTTTCAAAGTGTAGGTGCCTGAAGATGCAGGCAGACACCTAGTGGGATTTTCAAAAGTGGCTAAACAGATTAGGCGTCCAACTCCCATTGATTTCAATAGGTTCAGATTCAAAATGGTAAAATCAGTGGAAGTTAGGAGCCCAACTACTTAGGCACTTTTGAAAATCCCGGTGGGCATCAATCTGAGTCTTTAGGCACCTAAATACCTTTGAAAATCTGGCCCTAAGTGCATTTCCCAAGGTCACACAAGAAGTCTGTGGCAGAGCAGAGAAATAAACGAGAGTCTCCCAATTCTAGTACTTTTGGGGGACAGTTGTGCAGCTAGGTTACAGACGTCAGAGGTGCTTCTGCCAGGCTTTGTAAGTAGAATGACTCCAGTCAGTATTACTCATGAGTTCGAAATGTTTTTATCATGGCAAGTGAGCTAGACATTAATCCAGAAGCACAGAGAGCCTTGGTGCAGTGTGACGGGAACGGTGCTTCCAGAGCTGTGCCACACTCAGTGCTTTTGCTTTGAAGGAGGTTGTAAGAACTCTCTCAAGTTTAGTGCCGCCTATACTTGCGCAAACACACACACCATCCGCCAGCTTCTGCTCCATTATTACTTGCTCAGCCGAGGCGATCAACTGCACTAATAATTTGCCCTATGTTGGATCTGCTTCCTTCAGCCCTGAATCTCTCCCAAGATGTAGGCCCCATAACAAGAGGGCTTTAGAACATACAGTATGAAAGAAAGAATGAAAGAATCCATGACAAATGAAAACATAAACCTGGAACAAAGCCCTGGATCTAAACACACCTGAACTTCAGCGATATTCAGCATCTGGGTCCCCACTTCTCTTTTCCAGTGACTTGCTGCCAATATTTTAACTATGGGCACTGATAAAAATAATATTCACCTTATGTTATGCTAAGGCCGAGGAACCATACAGTTAGGAGCACCCTGAAATGACAGACAGAGGCGTTATTGCAGTCTTTTCTTAAATGTAACGATGGATTAATAAGAACCTCTTGGGAACCTCTCACAACCCTCACCAGCACGTCACTGCTCCTTTCTGTACAACAGGGCAAACTAACCCCCCCACATCTAAGCATTCCTGAACACCAGGGAAAGTTGGAACTGGATTGAAATCCAGTCTGAGGGACTCAGGCCCATCTCCACAGTGAAACAGTGGATCCACATTTGGGATGCACCAGGCTTATTGTTTTCTCACATCAGAGATAAGACCTTGGATATTGATGTTTTGCTGAGGATGGTTACGGAGGATAATTAGGAAATGCACAAATTTTGTTAGGTCAATCTTTCATCATCTCAGGAAAGGAACGCTCTGTTTCTATAACTAATTTGCTAGAATTCTTCATGAATCTTTTGTACTGCCACAGCCACATACAGCCAGTAATTAAGTTTTCGAAGAGAACATGGCAACGTTCCAGTACAGAGGTTAAAGCTAAAGTTGTGGAAAAGGAGCAGAGTTGACACATTATATTAAAAATTGCCTGTAGGGTAGAAAACAAGTGGAACCTTTCCAAATTAAAAAAGAAGTTTAATTGCAGGTTGCTGCAAGGATCAAAGTTGGTGGTTACAGTCTTTTATTAGTTGGATAAGTGACTTAGATGACAGGCTTCTAAGCCAGAGTATTAGGCTCTAGAAATGCAATTTAACTGGAAAGTGCAATATTTAATGGAATAAGCATTGGCCGGATTCTATTATTTAAGTACTCCATCATATGGATGGCAGTTATCACGGTAGATCAATGCAAAGAACAAAAATAGGAGTATTAAAACAAGAGGAAATGTCTGCCATATGGAAAAGTGCCATAGCTTGGTAACTTGGAAAGATGTTCCAACTACTGTACTCAGAAATCATAAACTCTGTCCAACATGTGCCTGAAGTGAGAAAACCTCTGATCATTTCTAGGTTTCATTTCGTATAAATGAAAGGGGTGGGTAATATATTGATAGGCAACCTGAATTTTTGGGTAACATGGCAGAAGAATAGGAAGGCATGTGCTCATTGAGGTTCTAATCCCATGTAACATCTCTTTGAAACTCATAGGTCCAACTTCTCTCTTTGTGCAGCACCACTGAAGCCAGTGGAGTTATTCCCACAAAGAACATCCCCCGTAAAGTTAATAAATTCCCTACTGCTGTACTCAAGTGGAAGGAGATCGTATAATGGGCTGTGATACCAATAATACTTAGTTGTGGCAGTGGTACATAATGCAACTGACCAGTGGTCTTTGCTCTACTTTAAATGATAGTAATTAATTCCTTTTCCTGCTATGCCAGGTGTAATTGACACTGAAGTTCATGTAAAAGCTTATTATTTTCTGAGGGTAATTTGTGGTGAGTCTATAATCTGCTTCATAAAGTGATTTCTCAGGTTAAGCTGCCGTAGAAATATGAAACATTTCATCAGTCTCAATTGTAAAGGCCATAATGTTTTATAAAGGAGTGTATTCACTGAAAGTCAATGGATAGTTTGAATTATTATCAGATGGGTACTGGTCAGTCCTGGTCATTTTGCCTTTGAATAAAGAGCCAAGGAGATTTCTTCAAAGGCAAAGTGTGGTTCCTGTACCAGGATCTCTCACTGTCCTCCCCTTTCCCCTTTGAGCCATTCATATTCCCTTCCATATTTTATGCTTCACCCTTCTCTGAGTCACACATCTCCCTCCTCCTGACCTACCACCTTGACTCCACCCTTCCCAGATCTTCCCCTCTCTGGCACTGTTTTATCTCCTTTCATCTCCCTATTCTTTAACCTCTCCCTTTCCTCCGGCTCCATCTCCTCCACTTTCAAACACGCCCTGGAAACCACTGGCTGGAAAAACTCTCTTGACCCTTTACCTCCAAATTCCCTTCCACCCACAATGCCTCTCCACAGATTCTCTCTTTGAACTCTAGAAGTCCAGCCAGTAGGGGGATGGAACCAAGGCTCTGGCCATTCTCTGCCACGGTCCAGCCACTCCCTATTCCCACTCTAAACGTTCCCTGCCCACCTGCTTCAGGGAGGACATACATGGATGAGATGAGCATCCCTACTTAGCCCTGCAGCTAGGTCTGAAGTTCCAGTTAGCCCTTGTAAGAGTTCTTACTACCCCTCCAGGGTAGGGTGACCAGACAGCAAATGTGAAAAATCGGGACAGAGGATGGGGGTGGGGGTAATAGGACCCTATATAAGAAAAAGACCCAAAACTCGGGACTGTCCCTATAAAATCGGGACATCTGGTCACCCTACTCCAGGGGTACAGAGTTCAAGTTACAATCTAGCTCATAGTTAATGAGGTTGGGAAAAAGCAGATGGGGCAGATACAGAGGTGGTATTGTTTTATGGTTTGTTTGGGATGTCACATATTGTTATCAGTTCAGGAAATATGACTTGGCAGTCCACAGGGTGATTGATCATTGCCTGCACTGATTGCACAGAGACATCATATTTACTCTGGCCAAGTGCCGTTTTTATTAGTAACGTCTTGTCTTGCCAATCTGGAGATGACAATGTGAAATAATTGTTTGTTTTGTTTTTAGGGTAGAAGAAAGTTTTAAAACCTTATTCTGGTCAATATTTGGCTTGTCTGAAGTGATATCAGTGGTGCTGAAGTATGATCATAAGTTCATTGAGAATATTGGATATGTACTCTATGGAGTTTATAATGTTACCATGGTGGTGGTGCTGCTCAATATGTTAATAGCCATGATCAACAACTCCTATCAGGAAATTGAGGTAAGATAAACAATTTGATTACAGAATATATGTATACTTTTAATTTACTGTTATATGTTATAAAAACAAGGACATTACAGGATGTACTATATAAGTTGTCATAGTGTGACACAAGCAATTTACCGTAAAATTCGATGGTGACTGAAAAGTTTCTATCCCAGAATTAGACCTAAGCAAATAATTCACAGTTAATCCTTTATACAACAAATTTATCTTCCTTTTGTTTGTAGAATATCTCTGAGCAGATCACAATTTCCTTAGATTTATTCATTATATGAAAGTAGTTCTTGATTTTTTTCAAACGCATGAACAGTTCTTTGTGAGCATTCACTATCTAGGTTAGATTCACAAAAATAGATTAGATTAAATGGATTCCCCAAACTCAGGCATGGCAGCTTTGAAATTCATTCTCCATGAACATTTGTGCAAGTAAACCTCTATTACAAGAATGTTTGTAGGACGCAAACACGAAAGGGCCACAAAGAGCAGAGGCTGACTCATTAGAGAATCTGAATGAATAGTTGCAGAAATGTATATCCAGGATTCAGTGAACTGTGCCCTGTATTGTTCATATTAGCAGGTTGGATTTGCTACATACTTTGGAGAAAAAACTTTCTGCTAATATAAATAAAGCAGGGGAAGTTATTAATATTGGACACTGTTGTCAGGGATGATTCACCTCTTTCTTGTCCCAGTTTCTTCAATGTCAAATTCCTACAGTTGGATTTGTATTAATTAGCTGTTCTGAGCTAAACTCAGAACCCAGCTCTGCAAAAGACCAGAGCTGAAAATATACCCCTGCGGCTTATGTCTGCTGCAATCAGGACGAATGTCAGCAAACACTTACATAGTGCCTACCCAAGAAGCTTTCCCTGCATTCAGAAGGCACAGTCGTATTCCCCAAGAGATCCTTAACATTTAAGATCAAGCTTCTCAGTTAGTTTCTCTTCCTCTGAGATGAGACTTACTTTCAAAGGGCCTCAGCCTCCTATTTTACTTGGAGGAAACTCTTCCCACCATTTTTGCAGTGCCATCTTACAGCTTCTTAATTGCAGGAAGACATGCTCTCCAGCATCAATATTTCTAAGGTTGCTACTATCGAATAAAGAAAACAAACCAAAAACCCCTCATGTAAAGCTATCTGTGCTGCACAACAAAGTCAGAGCTCTAGGCTAAACATTTCATGGAAAGGATCATCCAAAGTGCGTGCATGCTGTTTTCATTTATTCAGTTTAGGCACACAAATACCTCAATGCACACATAGAAGCCCTGGTTTGTGTGCACACGTGTCCGTGCAAATGCAGTTTGCACGCATGCATAACTGTTTATACACCCCTAAACTAAGCATGTGTAGTTTTGCACCCACACTTTTGAAGATTAGGTCCCATAGAGTCGGGAACAGTCATTAATAGTGCAAGCCCAGGGAGATAAGGCAAACAACACATACAACGCCCAGGGTATAAGTCTAGGACTTATAAGTCTAGGACTGTTTAGCTAAAAAGAATAACTTTGCATCTAAGCAAGGTTCAAGCAGGGGCTCTTTCAGAAGGGAGTCTTTATTAGGGAGCATGAGTAACTTTTTAGTTGACTCCGTATTGAAAAAGGGAAGAAATGAAATCATGCATGAATATTACATTTGCTTTTTGTTAGAATATAATATTTGCGTGGCGTTGTTAATATAAGTACTTATATAGCCGGGGGAAAGAGAGCAGCTGTTTGTAGGCTAGGAATTACTAGGCCATATTAGTTTTGCATTTGACTGAGAATACGAGTATAATGAAAGTTAAGAGATAGTATCTGGTGGGTTTGCTCTAGCACTTTGTGGTCTGGAAGTGTGTACCAATTTATGAGCATTGAACATTCTCTGTGTACAAACACCAGAATTAGTTTTAGTGTACCACTTATGGAGTATTTCAGAATATGATTAGAAATAGTGTGGGAGAGTCATAATCAGTATTTGTAATAGCTGGTAAAAAGGGAATAATTCAAATTATATCAGTGCTGCCTTATAGAATTCTGAGATCATCAAACTGTATTTGGTCTGGTGCAATGCGCACCAGAGGTAGATATTTTCCCCCTTGTTTTATCATAGGGATGATGTAGAATATTCTTCCTTTTCATTTCTCTAATGGGTAACAGGGCTCTCCATAGCAAGGAATATAGCAGACATTCATCCAATAATTTATCCATCAAATAATGCTTAATGGGCTACAAAGCTCATCAGATGTCACAAAGATAAATTATTCAGGGCTAGATTGTACCTTTAGGCACTGCCCGGAAAAAGGGATGGTGTATAAACTGTGACACTCCAGGAGGCACTGTGATTCAGAGACCCAATTCCCTCCCTGCTTCCCCCTTGCTTAGGGCAGGGGGGAGCTGGCCAGGAAATTATTACACCTCCCTATACCTGTTCAGCTACGCCATTCCCTGCCACTCCTTGCACATCGGACTGGGCAGTGAGGAAGCAGGATGAACAGTGCCATCTACTTGTGCGCAGCTGAGCACAAGGGGTTGGTAGCTTGAATAAAACTGTAAACCTAAGGGGCGGTCCTTACAGTGCTTGACTCCTCTTCTGGGATGTGTCGTCTAGTCTTCAATGACTATCAGCAACATTCACTGAATAACATATTTGACAAGTGGGATTTGACCAGCTCTACTTTTCATATTTGCATATTTAGCTTAGTGTAAATATCAACCAGTTTTCTCAGCGCAAGTGCCTACCCTTTCCACCTGTGACAGAAGTTATCCTTGTTCCTGTGACAAAAATTCCATAAGATATTGGTTAAATGTCTTTGATAGCTCATAGGTCTGACCTATAACCATGGCTTCTCACAACACCTCCTCAGGCCCTACCTTGGTGTTCAGGAGGCCCTTAATTCCCAGATGCAGTGATGGGATGTCCCATAATGTCAATATAGTTGGTGGAATGCCTGGAACAAGTGATAGTCCAGTGAACTACGTCGTCCAGCAGACACCTAACCTGTTCCTGCCTGAACCCACAATAAAATCTCTTTTTAAGCTTGTCCTTCACAGATCACTGGCAAGAGAGACAGTAGAGGACAGGAAGTAGTTATCCTGTTGGCTGCTGGACAGTCCCTCGAGATGGGATAGTTATCAAAAAGTGATTAAGAATCATAATTTGTGGGGGCAGCCTTCTCATGTCTAATCCAGCATCTTGATCAGCCTCTTATCTCTCAACTAGACACAAAAGTATAAACATGTTAACCAATTAGTTCTATTGTGATTAGGTTTAAGTTTTGTTTTATAAGGTTCAAGTCCAGTCAATACTCCTGGGGGGATTCTGCAAGACTGTGCACCCACAGAAAACACCCCCGCAGATTTCCTGTGTTTCCCTGCAGAAAACTGCAGGGAAGCCGTGCGGGGGATGACCATGGGCACAGTTTTTTTGGGGGGGGGGGATTGCCCCCCTCCAAACAGAGGTGATGCATGGGGGGGGCACACTGGGTTATGTGCCACTCAGGAGCGGCGCCAGGGTTTTTGGCGCCCTAGGCGGGGGTCCTTCCGCGCTCCCGGTCTTCGGGGCACTTCGGCGGCGGGTCCCGGAGCGAGTGAAGGACCCGCCTCAGAATTGCCGCCGAAGACCCGAAGCACGGAAGGACACCCCCGCCGCCGAATTGCCGCCTTCCCAAATCCTGGTGCCCTAGGCAACCGCCTAGGTTGCCTAAATGGAAGCGCCGGCCCTGGTGCCACTGCCCCCCATCATTTCTGCTAGCGCAGAGCTGCCCAGCTGTGTCTCTGCTCTGCTGACTCTGCAGCTGAACGCTGCCTCCTGGGTCCTAGTGCCGGTCCTAGTGCCAGTCCTGCTCCCCTTCTGTGTGCTGGGAGCCTTCCTGTTTTCTATTCTGTGCAACAGTGAGTGCCTGCAGTGGGGCTGGGTAAGGAGGGGTGGGGGAAATGAGGGAAGGGGGGGCGAGGGGGTGGAGGGAAGAGGCAGTGGGGAAGGAAGGGGGTGGAATAGGGCAGGGGGAGGGGAATGTGGGAGTGAAGGGAGGGGACTGGAGAAGAAAAGAGGATAGGGGAATCGTGGGGGGAAGCAGGAGCCCAGCATGCAGCATCCCCTCGGCAGGAGCTGGGGCTCCCCCATTAAGCAGGCCCATCGAACCCTCACCCTGACAAGCCCTACCCCCTCACACCCAGGTAGGGTGACCAGACGTCCCGATAAAATCGGCACCGTCCCGATTTTGAGCTATTTCTCCCAATATTTTGTGCCGCCGGCAGCACTAGGCTCTTTTTTTTTTTTGTTGCCCCCCCCCCCCCCCCCCCTCTCCCCCGATTTTTTTCCTCTCCTCTGGTCACCCCCCCCCCCGCCCCCCCCCCCCCCCCTCCCCAACCAGCTGGACCCCCACTCCATCAAGCCCCACTCCCTGAGCCGCAACCACCTTCACCTGGATCCCCTACAGAGTCCCATCGCCCCTGCACCCAGAACACCCCAACGAGCCCCTGTGCATCCAGATCTCCCACTGAGCCTCCTGCACCCAGATTGCCCCACACAGAAACCTCTCACCCCACACCTGGATCCCCCCACACTAAGCCCCTCCACCCTTCGATCCTGTTGGGCTGAGCCTGCCCACCCCCAGCTGCACCTGGCGCAGTGGGCATTTCTGGGGCAGGCCCAGCCCTTGCTCTGTGTCAGGGTCCGGCGTAACCTCACTGCCAAGTCTCTGTACCGCGGGAGGTGGGGGCTGCAGGGTGATCTCCCACCTCAATGCAGCCAGTGGCCCGTGCTCCCCACTGCCATGCTGGAGCCACATTTATTTATTGACAAATAAAATTTCCAGAATTTTAAAATATTGTGCCCATAATTAATTTTTTGGCACAGAATTCCCTCAGGAGTAAGTCAATAGGGGCTAAATGGGGCAAAGGGAGCACTGCTCCATTGAAGTCAATGAAGTTGCATCTTCATAAGCAAGGGCAGAATTTGGCCCAAGGCCTCCATTTTGTAATATGCCCATTTCTGACAGGCTGCCAAACACAAGGGAATCATCAGAGATGTGTCCTGATGAGCGAGTTGCATTATACATTTTACCATAGTAAAGATGTGAGTACAGATTACTGGCAAACCTATTTTCCCATTGATGCTACTGGCTTCTATATATACCACAATGAAAACAGCTGTAAAGCAGCTGCAGATCGGTTTTTTTCACCCAGTATACAATCTTGAAATAAGGGTCAGACCATACAAGTATTGAGTAAAATCATAAATGCCACTCGGATCAATAAAGACTGCACTGACCTTACATTTATCTTCAGAAATGTTCTTGGTGTCTTGGCTCACCTTGACAATCTAATAATGGTGAATCATCTTAACTGAGACGTGAACTTGCTTATGTGACATGCTGACTGATGGAGAACCAAGATGTAATGATGATGAATACAAATAGGACAAACAAGGAAATCAGCTGGTATTTTCTTATAGTTTTCAATTATCAGGAGAGATAAGTGGCCCAAGCTGCTGTTCAGAATATTTTAGTGAATCAGATGATAACCGTTACCTAGGAGTTAAATATTGCTGTGATTAACTTGACACACAGTTTATTTTGAATGGAAATTACATACCCACTTCCTCGTGCTTTGCATTGAAAATATATCCTTAGATAACTCTATTTATCAGCGAGGCCCAAATATCAGACCATTTTTTGTATGTGTTTCTTTGCCATCCGAAGAAACAGGGCCATATTCAGCACAGCAAATAAAAGGACTGGGGGTACTTCACATCTCAGACTCTCTCTGCCACCTGGTGGAATTCCTAATCCACACAAACATGGCGATTTGGGGCAGGGCCACATGGAGATTTTGAGGGCCTGGGAGCAAAATCTAAAACTGAACCCCGCCCATCCTTCAAAAAATGACCATGGAGATGAGAGTCTAAGGGGGGGGGGGGCATCAGAGATGGCCCAGGCCTGTGGGGTCTCTGCCCTCCCTGCAGGGATAAGGTGGCTCTGCCCTGTGTGCAGCTAGGGGATTGCTTCTAGTCCCTCCTCTGCCTGTGCCGATGGGAGCATTATCCCTGACCTCACTCCTACCTCCGGGGTCTCGGCCTGCCATGTAGCCTGGCTGGCAAGTGTCAAACCGGAGTGGCGCTGTCACCCTGTGCAACAGGTTGCTACACGACTCACTCAAATTTGCCCCAGCTGCCCCTCCATCATTTGGGGGGGGCCTGGAGCAAACCACCCTTCCCTCCCTCCCTTGGGCAGCCCTGATTTGGGCTCCTTTGTACTACGATATCATCACGTTTGTCATAGTCACTCTTAAAATCTGCAAAGAGCAGCTCTTTACTTAGCACAGCCCCTCGGGGCTTGCCCAAGGCAAGCTCCTTTTCAGGTCACTTGCTACAGAATTTGGGGGTGCCATTTGAACCTCAAGTACAGTGATGTGCTAGAGGTTGAAAGCAAATCTAGCCACCTGATGCAACTGGTCCAAGAAGTCCAGCCACTACTAACTTGCCCATGGTCTAGTCCAGGGGTCGGCAACCTTTGGCACGCGGCTCACCAGGGTAAGCACCCTGGCGGGCCGGGCCAGTTTGTTTACCTGCCACGTCCACAGGTTCGGCCGATCGCGGCTCCCACTGGCCGCGGTTCGCTGCTCCAGGCCAATGGGGACTGCGGGAAGTGGCGGGGGCCGAGGGATGTGCTGGCCGCGGCTTCTCCTGGTCTAGTCCCTGTGTCAGTGTGTGGCAATGACACCATAGGGAAGAAGTAACGGCCTTTAAAAGCTGTTGCACTTTGTTGGTCATCTGTGCTTCCTATCAGAGTCTCATTTTCCTCTGCTCTTCACCTGCTTTTTTCCCCATGAGGTTTCGTTCTCTCTCTCTCTGTCTCTCTCTCTCTCTGCCATTCTCCTATGGTTTATTTGCAGTCCCTTCTTAGGGGCATGTGAACTCATTAACTCTGGAGTTCAAGTTCAAACCCAGGATGTTTGACAGGTGGAGAAGGAAGGAAGGATGGGGTGGTCCCATTCCTACTTGGCACCCGCCGCGGGGGAATCCGCCTGCAGCTCCCCCCAGACACCACAGCTCTGTGCAGCTGAAGAGCAGAGCTGCCCGAGTGCTACCGACTTCACGGTTTGCCGGGCAGCCCCCAGACCTCCAGACCCTGCGCCCACGGCTGGGCGCTTCCCCTCCCGGGCTCTGGCTGCGCTGGGGAAGTGCCCGGCCGGGGGTGCAGGGTCTGGAGGTCTGGGGGCTGCCCGGCAAACCGTGAAGCCGGTAGCGCTCGGGCAGCTGTTTCGCATGGCTGGGAGGGAGGAGGGGGAATGCGGGGCGTTCAGGGGAGGGGGCCGAGTTGGGGCAGGGACTTTGGGGAAGGGGCGGAGTTGGGGCAGGGAAGGGGCGGGGTTGGGTGGGGACTTTGGGGAAGGGGCGGAGTTGGGGCGGGGGCGGAGAAGGGGCAGGGCCAGGGCCCCGTGGAGTGTCCTCCTTTTTAAAACCTTAAATATGGTAACCCTAAGCTAGAAGGAATGTGACAGTCAATTCAGCCGGCTGCAAGACTGACATTCTCTCTGCGGTCTTTGACCAGCTGCTCTGTTCAAATCCTGCTCACTGCAAGGTTGCTCTAGAGAAGCCTAGGAACGCGTGACGTTTGGAAACCGCACCTGACTTAGCAGACAAAGCATAGGAAGCATGTTGGAAAGGATAATTATTTAATCTTTATTCCTCCTGGGCCTCCACCAGACAGATAGGAACAGGCCCATCTGGGTACTGGGCTCACCTGGGAACAGCAACTTCTGGAAGGAGCTGGCAGAGGACTGATTATTAATGTCCCCACCCCCAGCCACTCCTTCCCCACAGCAACAGCTGGAGGTACTGGGGGTATGTCAGTGCCTTCCAGCTTCCCTCACTGCACTAAAAGGTATCTGCCTGGGGCACTGGACCTACCCTGACTTCTCCCATGTATGTTGCCCAGCAGCAGCCCAGAGGAGATTTTGCAGCTTCTTGACATCATCATTCACTCAGCTCTGAAATTGGACTCAGGATTCTTTTTTTGTTTTGTTTTTTTTCTGTATCGCCACTGCTTGCTGGACTCCTTTTCCTACCACTTCAGTCCTTACCTGCCCCACCTGACTCCCCACATTGAAATGAAAGGTAGTACACCCCAAAAATATGTAATTAAAGAGGGCGGTCCTACGTTCAGAACATGGTCTTGCATATTGTCTGTGCGCCAACTGAAAACAGCTGGAAAAGGTGGTGCATACAAGTAAATACCCAGATTTCAATATAAAGAGGTTAAACGGATTTGGGAGTCAATAAATCTGCAAGACTTTTGTATCAGAAACACTCCTGTTGAGTGGCCTTCAGTGACAAGGTTCATACCCCTTCCAGCTAAGTCACCTTTGTGCATCTGTCTGAGTGCCAATGCAATAATACTTCTCAATTCCTTTCAAAACCCTAATTCTGCAATTCATTTTCCCCTTCCCCACCGCAGGAGGATGCAGATGTGGAGTGGAAATTTGCTCGTGCCAAGCTCTGGTTATCATACTTTGATGAAGGAAGGACTCTGCCTGCTCCTTTTAATCTAGTGCCAAGCCCTAAATCATTTTATTATCTCATAATGAGAATAAAAATGTGCCTCATAAAACTCTGCAAATCTAAGGCCAAAAACTGTGAAAATGATCTTGAGATGGGTATGCTGAATTCCAAGCTACGGGTATGTCATGTGTTTCTTTTCTTTTAACATCCTGAATGTAAATAGACCATCATGTCCTTCGTGGGCATCAAGGGAAGGAATTTTACTTAGTTCACAGATGAGCAAAAAGAGCTGCTTAGCATTGAACTCTAACTTATTTATTATTGGTAGTACAGTATTACCTGGCGTACAGTATTACTCCTAACTTATTTATTGTTTTTATTACAGTAGCACCTGGAGCCCCTAACCAAGGTAGTGGCCTCCTTGAGTTAGACACTGTGCAGACATCTAGTGAAAGACAGTCCCACCCCAAAGAGCTTATGGTCTAAATAGACTGGGAAGGGGAACAGGTGAAGTGACTTCCCCTAGGAATCACAAAGCAGGCTAATGGCAGAACTGGGAGCAGAAGAATGCAGGTCTCCTGACTCCTACTCCAGGTTCCTATGCTGCCTCTTGAAACCGTTCTTTATATATTGCCTAAATTCTCTTTTTTTTTTTTTGCCATTATGTAAAAATCAACATTTAATACCACATCTGATTTTATCATTGGAAGCAGGGTCCCAACCAGGGAATATTAACTTTTCCCAGCAACTTGAAGCCGCAATTAACAACCTCCCCACTTTCAGCTGCCTAATGACAATCATACACAGTAATAGATCGGCCCTGCCTCATCCGCCACCTGTTCATTCTTTTGAAAGAGATGTGTGCTTTGGGACCCGCTGACTTTGGAACGGGCACATTTGTGAGAGGCAAGTTAGTTTTCCCTTCGTACCAATGAGCTTCTGCACGACAAAATATGAGACACACAGAGAAACATTCCTAAAAAGCTGACACTTTCCAACAGAATTGCTCCTGAAGAAATGTCAGTGTAATTGGGGAGAGGTTGATCCTGTGGAAATATATTATTTGCCGAAATGTCATTGGGACAAAACTGGTCTTAGCAAGCAGATTTTTAAAAAAGCCCAAAAAACCCTAGGCAAATCTATTCTCTTCCTTTGCAGCACTTCTGTTGGTTTGGAGGTTTTGAATAGAACGCCCAAAGCGTTTCATCCAAAATTCAGCTCTAGCTGATTTGCCGTGACCATCAAACTCAGCAAAAATTAAAACACGTGACGAGTCAACGTCGTTTAAACTGCACTGACCCTCATTTAACTTCCTCGGCTCAAGCTGGGTTTAAAACAAAAAACAACGTTGGGAACCGAGACCTAAAAAAAGGTGTTGGATTTTTGTCTTTGGCTACAGTGGCTGCGCGTGACAGAGGCTGCAGTGCTGCTCTGAGACAGCATCACCAGGAGCTTCAGGGGGCTTGTTAATATTCAGGGGGCATGTTGTTCTAAGTTACTTCAGTGCATGCTTTTACATTTTCCTCTCAGTGTCACTGCACATTTTTAGGCCCTGTGAACTGAAAACTGCCAGCTGCTTCTGCCATTCACAGGACATACGCTGAGGAGAAGGGAGGCTCTGTGGAGCACAGATGTAGAGCAGAAGAGAGGCAGTCACTCTGCCCTGATGGGACCAAAGAAATTCATTGCGTTGGCAAAATAGCAGTGGCAAATAAGAGGAATGAAGCATAGAAATGGGCTGGGAGGGAAGGAGCCGAAGATTGAGATCAAAGGAATATGCAGAAAGGAGGAGAATAGGAGGCGCTATCAAAGAAGAAGCTGACAATGGGTCAGAGAAAAGCCGAGCCATAGTGGAGATAAGAGGAAGAGCTGAAGCAAGCCTAGTATAGACCAGGACAAGGAAGAATGTAGGAGAGGAATGCAGAGGAGGGCTTTACAGAGCTCGCCATTGTAATCTGCAATGTGTCTCTGTGGCTGATTGGCGTTAATTGATACTATCCATTGGGTCTGACGAGTAATTTTCTCTTCTCTTTATTCAAAAAGCTATTTTCAAAAGTCAGCCACGATCGCCAAGAAAATTAGAAGTAATTAAGAAAGCACTGCCTCTCGCCTCTTAACACCTGCCTGTCTCAAAGAGGTGTGAGAGGGATACAGTTAAAACACCTTTTGTTTAGACAATATGAGATTGAATTTCTCATCCAATAATTCTTCCGTTCGTTCCGGGTTGTCTCCCTCTGCACCCTCCTATAAACTGGCAGAGGCAATGTTGCCTAGAAGATAGAGCACTGGACTAGGTATCAGGAGATCTGCATTCAATTTCTCTCTCTCCCCCTGGGCTGCTGAACGGCCTTGGGCAAGTCACTTCACCTTTCTGTGCCTCTGTTTTCCTGTCTGTGAAATGGGGATGACCTACTTGTCTCCTCTGTGAAGCACTTTGAGATCTTCTGATGAAAAGTGCTATGAACGAGCTAGATATTAATTATATTATTAATTGGGGAATGGAAGTGCTGGTTTTCTTCTGCAGGATCTCCAACCTGCTCACAGAATGCAACATTTTCTAATGTTTGCATAAGACTGTTTAGTCTGAGGCGGAGAGGTTGTTTGGGGAAAGAAGCTGTTACAGATTTAATGTTTCATTATGTTTTATAATTTCAGAAAATTCGTTTTCAGTCAAGCGCTCGAAATTCAGAAAATTTTACTGTGAAGAAGGCTTATAACAAGCCCGCGAGATATCAGGTAATGACAGTAGAACATCAAGAGCAAGGGAAAAGATCTGTAAGCAAACAAGGTTTATTTGCAAGGCTCAGATTTGTCAATATACAGTGGACTCCTCCATCCTGTGATGTGTCAAGCAATGACCTATGCCAAATCAAAGGACACAGTAGTTTATGGGACTGAGCCCAAACCTTTTAGTTTCACAGTTGCTTTCGGCAGCATGGCAGCTACAGAAATACATTTGACATTAACGTGATTGTCATGGTAATTAATTGCCAGTCACTGGTATTGAACTTACAAGAAAAGTTCACCCGAGCTTCATCCTAGACCTAGACTCATTGACAGTGTTTCATTTTGTCATGACACAATGTTGTCTCTCTAGACTTTACTTTAACTCCCTCGTGTGCTTTCTTTGGCAATATTTTGTCCTATTTAGCTGGATGTGCAATGTGATATGTTACAAAAATAATTATGAGAGCCGTGATGACACAGCTTACTCTCCCCACACTGTGAAATTACCATTGTTGTAAAGTCCTGAGTAGAACTGGGTGAAATATTTTTTACAAATTACTTATTTGCCAAAAAATGCAGTTTTGGGTCAACCAAAAACTGATAGAGAATTTAGGGTGAATATGGCCACTAGAAATTTGGAAAAAAGCTTTCAAAAAAGTTGAAATGTTTCAACTTGACATTTATTAAATGAAACTCTTTGACTTTTCATTTCAAAATTGTAATTAGTTTTGAAATTTACCTAGATTTCACTAAAAAATAAAAAAAAAATAAAAAAAGCGTTTTAAAAACCACTCGAAATGAAACTAAACCTTTCATTTTGGGTCAAATGAAATGTTTTATTCACCCTGAAACAATTTCTTTGTCAGTTTTTGTTTTGGTGAGAAAACTGAAAAATTGTCATTTTGGATTGACTCAAAACAATTTTATTTCTTTTTTTTAGAATTTTTCAGTTTAGACACCAAACCAAAAAATCAATTATTCACCAAGTTCCCATCCTGAGAATTTATGCTTCTGGTAGACTTATTTTATGTGGAAACAGTGGGTTATGTATGTAGTAGCAAAATCTCCAACTAAACAGGTACATGGTTAACTTCTACACATATCAAGTATTTGTAAATTGTTAACAGGGTTAAGAAAAGGAATTGGTTAGTGGGATAAAAAGGTATAAATATGTGTAGTAAATACTAGATATTGGGTAACATTTTCAAAAGTTTTTAAAGGTATTCAGGGCCTAAAGATGTAGATAGATGCCTAATATGATGTTCTAAAGCAACTAGGTGCCTAACTCCCCTGGAGTTGAACATCCCATTAGGTATCTATCTACATCTTTAGGCACCTAAAAACCTTTTAAAATATGGCCCTCTGTGACAGAGCCAGAAATTGACCCCAGATCTCCTGAGTCCCATTCCAGTGTCTTAACCACAAGACCATTTTTCAGTCTCCTTTGCCCCAGCAAGATAAAGTCTATAGAAGGTACTTGAAAAACTGAAGGAACAAAGAGTATTTGAAGATTGGGCCAACAAATACATAAAGAAGATTGATTTCTGCCTAGAAGGCAATAACTTACTAATTAAGGTCTGCTCCTGAAACTCTTTCTTAGATGAGTATCACACCATTGAAACAATGGAACTATTTGGGTGAGCAAGGTCTGGAGGGTTGAAAATTATGATGACTTTCTTGACCAGTAACTATGTGGTTGAGAAGCCATTTCACTTACAGTAGCAAAGAACCCAGAAGGGGTGGTAGATGGCAATAGAGATGCAAAGCCGCAATACAATATTAAGGCAAAAATACACAGTAGCATTGCTGGAGATATTGCAAGGGATGTCTCCAAAGGCTGCAAAGTGATATCCACCCCTCAGATTCTTGATAAAGAATTGTTACATTTCCATTACTTCTGTTCAGTATCCTTACAACGGTATATTCTCTGGTATAGTTGGCACCATGAAGATCTTGACCATTGCCACCTGTAGCTACATGGCATGTAGAGTATTACTCATTGTAAATATAGACTGTACTGCAAATACTGTGGCTGGCCCAGGTAAATACTCTGTGATGGTAAATGTCAAGAAGATAATGGCATTCGTTATATGTTGATTCCTTGTTTTCCTGCAAGTTCCCTATTTTTGTCTCCTATTTTGAAAATTGTTTCTGTTGGGATCTAGTATTTCCCCACTTTCCCCAGAATGTTCCTCAATTTATGTTTTCTCAGGTGGCAACATGTCTTCCATCTGGATTGAACTACCTTGGCCATCTCCAGCATACAGTATGTGCACTGTGTCTCATATATATTCCCTTAACTGACCCACCTGGTTAGAGAGAGATCTCGTCTATAGAAAGACACAGTCCTAAACATTCCACATTCCATCACTAGATAACACATATACAAGTAACTGGATTCTTTTTTGTCATTCACCTGCCTTTATATTGCTACAGTTCACATCTAGTTACTTAATGATCAGGAAGAAGGGGTGGGGTGGTTTTCGTTTTGCTTTGGTTTAGGGGTTTTTGTGCCTCAAAACCTTTGGGGAGATTGCCAGTGACATTTAAAGCAACAGGATTTCTTCTTATTCAGTGGGCAGATGGGCCTGAATCTAGGTTTTATGGGTAGTATGCTCCTGTGATTAGCGCGCTAGCTAGGGTCTTGGGAGACTTGGGTCAAGTTCCCTGCTCTGTTACAGACTACTTCTATGAGGTTAGGCAAATTACTTATTCCCTGTGTCTCAGTTACCCATTCATAAAATGGGGTTGATAGAACTTCTCTGCCTGTCAGGGATGATGTGAGGATCAGTATATTTTAACAATTGCGAGGTGCTCAGATACTAAGATGGGGGGGACATTTGAGTGCCTTAGGCAGATAGATGTTAAGTTGCTGTTGTTCCCCACCATTTTTTATCCAAAAATGACAAAACTGCTCGAACAGACCACCGTAAAATGAATGCCTTTCAGTCCCAATGGGAGTAGCCATTCGCATCATTACACAGAAGCCAGGTAACATGCCTCAGTCATTCATAGTATTGTCAGTAGAGTGAAGACCGTGAGAGCTTTCTTAGCCCTATCCTAGATTTTCTGTGGGAGCAGGAGCAAGATCCGGAAGGCAAGTCCAGTTCCTGCCTTTAAGGGTATGGAGGCTCCCCAGGCACCCGCACGAGTGTGGTTCTACTGCACCAAAGGAGAGGGCTGTGTATGCATGCATGCTGAGAAGGTGCAGACAGAAAATTCAGCTTGGGAGCGGCTCCTTGCATGGCAGCAGGCAGGGACAGGAGAGGACGGGACATGAGCAGTCCAAGGGAGTTAGGGATAGTTGGTCTAGAGTATCTGCCATTGTCTGGATTCTCCTTTCTTGTCCCTATGAAGAAGGGCAACAGAAGGTGGACTGTATCCTGAGGTGTCAGAGTCCTCTTCCCTGGTCCTTGTGCATCTGCCCAGTGATCAGCCCAGTGACTGAGGTCAGGCACCGGGCACAGGCTGTGCCCCTCAGTGACTAATGCTCAACATCATTGTCCAGGCATAGTAACCCCCCTTAAAGTCTTTTCAGCTGTGTGGCTGTTTATAAGATTATAAATCTAAGGGTCAAACAAAGTGAACTCAGTAAATAAGAGATGTCATTGCCTCCTGTGATGAATCAATGAAGCGACTCCCAGGAGCAGGGACTGTGGTAATTTAAGATGAAGGTAGACGCAGATGGTCTTTTCCCTTTCTAGTGTCTGCATGCTCGAAAAAGGGATGTCAATGCAGCTCTTCTTGAAGGCAGATGGAGAATATCCCTCAGTTAGACAGGAAAAGATCCAAAAATCCTGGTTGGAGTTACATCATCATCAGAGCCAAATCCCAAAGGGACGTAGCCTCCTTGCAGATTGAGCACCACCTGCATTGATCGTTGGGTTGAAGTTCCCCCCAAGAAACAAAACATTTTGGGCTCAATCATGCCATTTGGATGCTGCCTCATGGTGGGGAACTTCAGCCCCCTGGTGGAGCAGAAGGGGGAACCCTGCAAGGGGGCCTGATAAGCTTCCATTACTCCACTTTGCATGAGGAAATTCCTCCCAAGCAAGAATGCATACACTTCCATATCAGTTTTACACGCTCAAATGTAGATTGATCATGCACTTGGGCACCCAAATGAGCTATTTGGGTGTCTAAAAATAGATATGCCTAACTTTGGACTCTTAAAAGGTAGTCCCGTGGGGTCCATGTACACTGCAATAGAAGACCTGTGGCATGGCCATGGCTGGCCCAGGTAAGCTGACTTGGGCTCGCAAGGCTTGGGCTGCTGAGCTAAAAATTGCACTGTATGCAATTGGGCTCAGGCTGGAGCCTGAGCTCAGAGACCCTCTCCTCTTGTGGGGTCTCATGTCCTGAGTTCCAGCCCAACCCTGAATGTCTACACTGCAATTTTTAGCCCCGCAAGCCCACGTCAATTGACCTGGGCTCTGACACTTGGTGCCGTGGGGTTTTTGTTGCAGTGTGGACATACCCTGGGAGGTCAGTCCTTTTAATCCTTTTGTCATGTTTGCTGCCCATCTTCAGCTCTCCAGTCTATCAATGTTTCCCCCCCCCATACTGAAGAAGACTCCACAGGGCTCCAGTTGTAGCCTAGTGTAAAGCATAAACTGCCTTAGGACTTCTTTTATACCTCTATGTATAAACATAGCTTCAGCACTTTTGCAACAGCATCACATTGCAAGCTCATATCTGATTTGTTGTCTGCTCTCATTCCTATATATGTCTGTACTTCTTTCTATCCAATAATCTTCCATTTCATACAGCTACATGGTATTCTTTTTTGCTGTGTATATTAAATACGTGCCATTTTTCTAAGGTAATTCTTGTTCATTTTAATCCTTTTTTCCAACATTGTTGGATCTTTCTGACTCTTCTCTCTATCCTTCAGTGAGTTTCCTGTTTCCTAGTTCTCCTAGCCCCTGATCCAACACCCACAGGAGTCAGTGGGAGTCTTTCCATTGACTTCAGTAAATTTGGGATCAGGCACTTAGTTCAAAGTAATGAGTGAATTTTATAATGTCATTAATAAACAACTTATTTTTTCATCCAGATTTTTTCTTATGAATACTTTAAACAGCAACCTACATCCCCAAAACCTAAACTCGATCCCACTTCTTAGTTTGATATTTAACCATTTGTAGTTACTTTGCGTTTATGGGCTATCCACCAAATTCGGATGTGTCCCACAGTATTCTTTGATCTGCCTTTCTTGTGGGATGCTCATTAAATATTTGTTGTTCAACTATTATAACACAAAGTGCGTAAATATAAAGGTAAGATCCTGGCTCCACTGAAATCAATAGCAAAACTCTGATTGATCCAGTGGAGTCAGGATTTCATCACTCTGTAGCTCAAACTGTTCATAATAGATCTAGAATTACAGACAACCAATATCATACCGTTTAACCATTTTTATTCACTTTTCAGAAAATAATGAAGCGTCTTATTAAGCGATATGTCCTGAAGGCTCAGGTTGATCGAGAGAATGATGAAGTCAATGAAGGCAAGTGGCTTTTACAATTCACGATGTTACAATCACTAAAGCTGAAATCAGGCATCTCCATTCAGTTCCAAACTGATATGTCAAATCATAAATCAGATGGGTGAGGCTGTCTGGGGCAGCTTCTGGAGAGGCAGCATGCACAGGCATACCCTGGTGGGCATAGATTACTTCAAACCATCTTTGTGGCCTGGCAATTTTGGCCCTTTCTGTGGGCTGAAATGATTTCCGCTATAATTTAGGTTGTCTAGGGAGCTTCTCTAAGTTACAGCAGACCTACCCTTGGAGTTGTCCAGAATCACCATAGTGGACCCACCTCCTCTTTCCTCTCAGCCCTTGGCTAACCCCCTACACTAGGGCTTGTGAAGGGACCTGTGTAAGGCAGCTTCCAACTGTCCTACCCAGTGCCTGCACTAGACAAATTCTCCCCCAGTTGGTTAAGAGGCTTTCCTAGACCCCGTACATCATCATGGTGGCATACAGGGGTCAGAGCAGAGGACAGAATCCTGCCCAATATCTCTGCTAAGCTTTCTATACTTTACATCACAAACACATCTTTTATTTGCCTAGGGCACCTACAGCACCATTCCACCATACAGCCAAGGCCACCCTTTTTTCCAACAGACCCATACTTCCTAATGGCGCATTACACTGTACATTCATATGGGCCTTAGAAAACCCCTTTTAAAAACGCTGTCCTGAGCTGTCCCCTCTGCAGCTGGAAGGGATGGAATCCGTGTAGTTTCCTACTCAGTATATATGGAAAAGGGAATGCTGGCGAGGGAATGGTCTCTCTGAAGCATTATTCTGAATCCTAAAAAGCCGCTGTGTAGCTTGGGAATCTGTATGTGGTGAAGGAGTGGGCTTGGAAAGAACAAGAACTCTCCACACATTACTACTGTTAGCAGTATTAATGGAGTTCGTTTCATTAAGTCCGTGGGGGGAATTTTGTGTAACTGCTACTCTATGGAGGTTCCCACACATTTAGTGCCAAGCCCATAGTTTGCATTCCCAAATGTGCTCATTCTTCCGAATTAAAACACGGCGATGACTTGTTTAATTCAGTCTCATTTACAAGAACTTTTTTTTTTCATCGTAGGAGAACTTAAAGAGATTAAGCAAGATATTTCCAGTCTCCGCTACGAGCTTCTAGAAGAAAAGTCAGAAGCTACTGGAGAGTTAGCAAGACTAATACAGCAGCTGAGTGACAAGTTTGGGAAGAACTTAAATAAGGACATTTGATGGTGAACAAAGAGAAAGACAACTAGTTTTCTAAACATTATTTGATATTTCAACCAGCATTTTAAGGGAGCAAAAACAGTGCAAGAGATGCGTACTGAGTCCTCAACTTTTGCCACCTAAGAAATATTGGTGGGAGCCCTGTGCATTAGAATATGTTTTGGGGTGAAGCCAACAATCAGTTAATATCTTTACAATATAAAGGTGACATTTGGGTATAAAACAAGCCCACTGACATCAGAAATAAATGCACCATCTCCAAAAGATAATCATACTTATATTAGATCCCAAAGCACCTTTTAAAAAAGGCAAACAGCCAAATCCTCAGCTGGCATGAATCAGCATAGTTCTTTTGAAGTCAATGGAGCCAAACTGATTTCTATCAACTGGAGATCTGACCCATTACATCTAGGACTTAGATCTGGGTGAACCCTGCAGAATAATATTCCACAAATATTCATTAAAACTTTTAAACAAATTCACCTTCACTTAGAGGTGTGCACTCCTTTTGTGCTCGCTTTCCATGGACACCCATGAAATTGAGTTAGAACAGCACTGAGGTTAATGGAAAGCAAATGTGTAAACACATAGTAAAATGTAGTGAGCTCAAATTGCCTTCCTACGAGGATTTATACTAGAAACTTCATTTTAAGAGTTAACTCATTCAGTCAAGGAAGAATAACAATACCATGTGACTTGTGACCAATCACAACGAGGCAACTCAGCTCAGATTTTGAATGTCAAATGGCAAGCCATAGCATCGATGAAATTCACAAAGAATGTTGCTGAATGGTTTCAAACTATGAATACATTTGGCTGGGGACATTCTGTCAACAAAAAAGGGGAATTTGTCAAAAAAGGATTTGCTAGGAGTTATTTGCTCAGCCATAGTAAAGAAAAACAGGGAGAAGTTTTAAAAATTAAACCAATTTACAAGCTGCAGTGGTACAAAGTCCTCCGGTTGTACTCTTACAAGGGAAAAGTTCAGAACATGATGCAGCTGAAAACTCAGCTGCTTGTTTATTTGGTGTTTTAAGCTGCTCAAAGCACACCTTATTACTTCGGAAACACTAAACTGTACTGTTTGTTTACAAGGTGCACCTATGAGATGACCATTACATTTAGATATCAGCTAAGAAAAATAAGCAGAATCAGAAGGTGACCTGTGATCAGTTCTTAAGTGCCAGATGAGAACACAGATAGCCTAGTAGAGTAATAGTTATATTTGTAAAAAAAGAAAAAGAAAAACAAAAAGAAAAAAGTGTACTGTAGGTAGACCTGTTTAGAGAAAAAAAAATCAAAATAATGTATTTTTACCTTTAATAAGATTATCTTGTATACTGTAATATTTTTACCTAAAAATGAGGGGGGGAAATAAAATTACCTCACAATATTTGTTGTACCTTGAGTGACATATTTGTCTGATGTTTTAAATACCCCCCACATAGAAGTTTCACTGGCTTTTGACAATGTGTGAGCAGGACCAAAGTTACATACACTAACAGCCTACTGCTGATGAGAGTCGAAAAGCATCATAGTATAATTATAGAACTAGAATTTCTGGAACTCTTCATAGTCTGCACTCTGAATAACTCTGTAAGGGTGATACTTAGTTTGAAATCACTGTGTTGAGATTCATACATGAATGTGTGGACACCTACTGAGACGGTAAAACATAAATGAGATAACTTCAGTCATGTCTATTTGTGCTACTGAATTTCTAGTTGGAAATAAAATGGGTAACATTATTTGGACTAAGTTTAGAGAAGAATTGGCTGAAAAGACAACTGATGCTATCTTCCCTGGATGTGACCTGTCACCTGACATGCTACAGTGTGCCAGTACACATTAGCATTTTCCACTGCTGTTATTCACAATGAGGGGAAATGGCTTGCTTTACAATCACCTGCAATGCAATACCGTGATCAAATTCTCACCGCACGGTGTTCGCCAGGAAGGCAACACATAATAGCACTGTATAACAGTTTTTCTTTTAACGTGTAAATACCCATGATTATTTTGAGCTACCTTCCTCTGCCTAAACCTATGAATATTGCTCATATGAAGTGCTTGGTTTTCACTTTGAAAAGAGAAATGATTTAGCCAGACCGTGTTTATCAAGAAAAGGGTTTTCAAAAAGACTTTGGAATGATGGAATATAGTCATCTGTGATACTCCAAAATAATACCATCATATCACATGGACCACTTCCAGTTACTGCCCTGTGCATTTCAGGCAAAAATTGTGAATTGCCGGGGGTGCTGTCAGGGCCGGCTCTAGGTATTTTGCTGCCCCCCACCCCAGCCCTGGGGTCTCCCTCTCCCCCCCCGCCCCCCGCAACTGCACCCTTCTGCTGCCCCAGCCCTGGGTCACTGGTAACTCGCTCCCAGGGCGGGTCATTCAGCAGGAATTTTGGATGTGCACAGAACACAGACAGGATTGGTTCCCATATGGTTACAGAACTGCAGTAAAGTGGAACAATTTTCAGCTTGTGTGATTGCAGGATATCTGGATGCATATTATAAGACTGTCCTACATAAAAGAGGAAAAGTTGAGGTGCCATTATTATTCTTTTGTTCCATTCTTTGTTTCTATGGGGAATGCACTATCACGGTCTTCCTTTTAAACAAATAAAACTAAAACTTAAAAAAAAAAAAAAAAAGCAATGGCTGTTGAAAATAGCAATTCCAGTCCTAATAACCGCTGGGAAGCATTTCTTGCTCAATTTATTCTACTTTTTCTACAGCAAGTTACAGTGGATCAGTATATTTGATTTGGGGGAAATGAAGTAACAGCCGCCCAAACTGAGCTTGAGCACTCCTGAATTTTGAGGGTGTTCAAATCTGGAAGGCAGGTGCTAGATTCCCTTTCTGAATATGAGCTATATCTGGAAAGGAAAAGTCAATTTCTGCTTCCATGGCTCAGAAGTGGAAATCCTCCTAAGTGCCTGGTACTGTATCTAAAGCTGCCCAGGTCCAGAGCCTCCCCTCCCTTACTTTTCATTTTAAATTCTAGTGGGATCCACATACCTCCCTTGCTAGGCTTCAGATAGAGAGGCGCACCGTCCATTTAGTCCCTCCAATTCCTTCTTTGGGGGAGAGCCCAGGGCTGGGGCAGCAGGAGGTGGGGGGAGAGCCCAGGGCTGGGGGAGCAGGGGAGGTGCAGGTGGGGGCCAGAGTTGGGGCTGCAGGGGGTGTGGGCGGGGGAGGGCCCAGAGCTGGGGTGGCAGGAGGTGCGGATGGGCCCAGAGCTGGGGCGGCCAGGGATGCGGGTGGAGTGAGAGCCCAGAGCTGGGGCAGCAGGGGGTGCAGGTCGGGGGGGAGAGCCCAGGGCTGGGGTGGCAGGGGGGAG